ACTGTCATCAGCAAAGAACAACTGTGATAACTGCCACTTTGTATCAGCTCTGTTAATTCCACAACTCTTCTCAACACTGTGGCATTCCCTCTCTCCTACATACCTTAACCTGAGGCTCTCACTCTACATAAAATATCAGTAACATACAACCTATTCCATACATTTGCAACATCTGCTACATGGCTTCCCCGACCACCTTATATGCATTTTCTAATTTCAGTGTCTCCCATTGTCTCACATACTTTCCCCAGATTCACCTCAGGCTCCTCCTCATACCAGTATGATGTTATTCCTCCCTGCCCCATGTATGTAGCCACTGCCTCTTCATCACCAATATTCAACATTTCATTAAAATATCTTCTCCATTTTTCTAGTACCTCCACTTCTCCATCTAACATCTCTCTCCTTTCTTTTTTAACTGCTAAGTCCATTTGCTCTCCAGACTTCCTCACTTTATTGATCTCCAAAACAGTTTCTTTTGCATAATTTGTTGATAAATCTCATCCATTCTCGTAATTTGTTTTTTTTTTTTTTTTTTTTTTTTTTTCCACCCCTCAGCACTTTTTTAACCTCCCTTTTCATCAACATATGCTGTACCTTTCGACTATCTTTTTTTTTTAATAGCAAAAGCTTCTCATGTGCTATTTTTTCTGCTTTACCACCCTCTACCTCATCATTCCACCAATCATTGCGATCCCCACCTGCACCCACTCTCCTATACCCACAAACCTCTGCTGTACACTCTAACAGTGCATTCTGAAACTTACCTTATATCTCTGCTTCCTCATTTCCTGCACTTAACCTCATTTATTCCTCCAGTTGAAATTCTCCCACACCTTTTAGTTGTTTCACTTAGTGCTAGCACACCCACCTTCTTTTAATTTACACATTAACTATCAGTTCTTTCTATCTGTCACTCACATCCAAACTCCTATTTCAAAATTTAGTTCTTTTGCTAATTTATGTGTGCATATGTATATGTACATATGTATGTGTGTGTGTATGTATATACAGTGGACCCCCGGTTAACGATATTTTTTCATTCCAGAAGTATGTTCAGGTGCCAGTACTGACCGAATTTGTTCCCATAAGGAATATTGTGAAGTAGATTAGTCCATTTCAGATCCCCAAACATACACTTACAAACGCACTTACATAAATACGCTTACATAATTGGTCGCATTCGGAGGTGATTGTTATGCGGGGGTCCACTGTATATGATGTCGTACCGAATAGGTAAAACTTAGGATTTTGGCTTAAATGGCATCGCTCTTCTTGCCAAATAAGGCAAGTGGAAATTTGCATATGCAATAATTTCGCAAAAATAATTCAGAACCAAACAAAAAAAATATATTTCATTGTGTTTATTATTAAATTATTGTAAACTTATCTAAAATATTATAACAAGCTCAATTTAATTTAGCCCAATCCAACTAAATATATTTTAGACAAGTTTATAATAATTTAATAATAAACACAAGGAAATATATTTTTTTCATTAGGATCAGAATGATTTTTGCAAAATTATTGCATACACAAATTTTTGCTTGCCTTATTTGGCAAGAAGAGCATTGCTATTTAAGACAGAATTGCAAGTTTTACTTATTCGGCACAGCATTTTATATTATTTTATATATTTTATAATATATATATATATATTATATATATTTATATATATATATAGGGGGGCCCCCGCTTTATGGCGTTTCGCTTTACGGCGTTCCGCTAATACGGACATTTCAAATTATGACCAAAACTCGCTAAAAACGGCTCCCCCCACCTGTCTTTCTAATTACGGCCCACAGGGACCATCGAGTTTGTTTACATCCCCCTGAGCACATTCATTATTAGCCCTGGAAACTTTCCAAAATTTCAAGTGTTTAAAGTTATTGTATATTTTAAATGTATTGTACTTGACAATTAACTTGTGTACACCTGTACCTAAATAAACTAAAACACTGTGCTGGCATGTAGGTACACATTAAAATCACTAAGAGTCTCTCTACTCTTGATGCAATAATTAATAATAATAATAATAATAATAATAATAATAATAAATCTTTGGGCGCATTAATGTCGCATATTACGTTAATATAGACATTCCTTTTAAACTATCTATATATTTTTTCAAAATTATATAAGAAAACACATTATGTAACACACAAACATGATACATGAAACCCCCAGTATAAAAATTTTATAAAAATATATATGAGATGTTTAAACCAAACGGTTTGTAGAAGGTCGGAAGAATTCGTTTTTTTCTAGCCCGCACCTGTTACTTGGGATAAAAATGTAGAAAAATATTCCTTTCGTATACCTTCACTTTATAGCTAAAATTCTGTACTAACTTGTACACAGTGTAAGAGTATTTGTTTTGTGATTTTAAATTTTATAATAAAAATTTAAAATTTTTAAAAGGTAAAAGTTCACAAACTACAATGTACATGATTAATAAACTGGACCGTATTAATAAACCCTCTATTTCGCCTGACGAGTG